CTATCAGACCACAATGCAGTAAAACTCAAAATCAACACTGGACAAAAGCCCTAGTCACTACAGGAACTCATGGTGAGTGAACAACACACTGCTAAATAATGAGTGGGTCAAAGGAGAAATTAAGAAAGAAAGAAAATAATTCCTGGAATTCAATGAAAAGAACAATACAACACAGCACAACCTCTGGGACACTTTAAAAGCAGTCCTAAGCAGGAAGTTTATAGCTCTAAATGTCTACATTAAAAAATTGGAAAAAGCCCAAATAAATGACCTAACAACTCAAGGCACTGGAAAGGCAAGAACAAATGAAACCCAAACCCAGCAAAAGAGAAGAGATAACAAAAATCAGAGCAGAAATTAGTTGAATAGAAACAAAGAAAACAATACAAAGAATCAATGACTCTAAGAGCTGGTTCTTTGAAAAACTAAACAAGATAGACAGACCCTTAGCCCAGTTAACCAAAAGAAAGAGCAAATCCAAATCAACAAATCAGAGATGAAAGGGGAAACATCACAACAGACACCCAAAAGATCCAGACTATTATAAGGGAATATTTTTAAAAATCTATATGCTACTAAATTAGAAAATCTAAAAGAAATGGATGGATATCTAAAAGCATGGGGACCACCAAAGTTAAACCAAGGAGAGAGCAACAGTTTAAACAGACCCATAACATATAAGGAAATTGAAACAGTAATACAAAGCCACCCAACTAAAAAAAGCCCAGGCCCAGATGGATTTACAGCAGAATTCTACCAGACATTTAAAGAAGCCATCCAACCAATACTACTTAAATCATTCAAAACCATAGAAACAGAGGAAGGACTCCAAAATTCCTTCTATGAAGCCAGCATCATTCTAATACCCAAACTGGGTGAAGACACAACCAAAAAAGAAAACCATAGACCCATATCCTTAATGAACATAGACGTAAAAATTTTCAACAAAATACTTGAAAACTGCATACAGATGTACATCAAAAATATTCACCATGATCAAGTATGCTTTATTCCAGAGATGCAGGGATGGTTCAATATATGCAAGTCAATAAAGGTCATTAATCGTATAAATGGACTCAAAGACAAAAACCACATTGTCATCTCAATAGATGCAGAAAAAGCTTTTAACAAAATTCAGCATGCATTTATGTTCAAAGTCCTAGAGGGAACTGGACTGGAGGAAACACACCTCAACATAATTAAAGTTATATATAACAAACCCACAGACAACCTCATTCTAAATGGAGAAAAACTGGAAGCATTCCCATTGAAATCAGGACCCAGACAAGGCTGTCCACTATCTCAACTTTTCTTTAACATAGAGCTTGAAACTCTTGCAAGAGCAATAAGAGGAGCAGGAAATTAAAGGAGTAATAATTGGAAAAGAAGAGATCAAATTATCCCTTTTTGCAGATTATATGATATTATATCTG